GCAGCTCGTTGCAGAGGAGCGGCTCGGCTCGCTCCCGTAGTGCTTAGCGAGCTGCAGGTTGCTCCTGGCCCGTTTCGGGTGCCATGCAGAGAGGTAAGAGTGTGTGTGCTGTAACCAACCCCTCCATCAGTGATATAACACAAAAATAAAGCTGAGACCCCCTGGCCTGGCGGGGTCCTGCCTTCCCATTGCCAGCTCATTAATAATTGGGAGATATTTCTGCAGAAGCTGCAGCTACAAGGTGCTGACGTGAGGCGTGCGCCGTCAGCGAGGAGTGTCTGTGCTTTTATACCGAGGAGACCTCCCAGCTCGGGTACCCCCTTCCCTTCCTCCGCGCAGTCCTTGCCGCCCGTCCCTATTTCCCGAGCCCTCTCACGGCGTATTTTTGGAGCTTGTGTAGAGGGAGGAGGTATTTTAGCGGCAGCCCATCGCCCGGGAGATGGTGAGTCCCTGCTTGGAGCCCGGCGCGGCCGGGACGCGTGAGCCGCCGCGGCATTTCAATATAACAGGGAGCCGTGTGCGAGGGTGACCATAAAAAGCAATGTCAGGGCAGCAGCGTCTGAGCGGCGCGCGGGCAGCTGGGCGGCCGGGCCGGGTTATCCTCGGGCAGCGGGGTTGTGAGAACACATCCCCGCTTCGCCGGCTCGGCGAGGGATGCTCGAGCACAAATGCTGGGGCACGAGATGTTTCCCCTCGCTCCTCGCTGCTGGCACTTGCCCTTCGCAAAGCTCGGGGACAAGCGCTTCGCCTCTGCACCCTCCCCGGGCTGGCACTTTAGGACCCTCCGGGCGAGCACGGCGTCGTCGGAGAATGAGGTTTTAGTAGGTGATGGAGCTGGGCTGCGAGCGCCCGTGGTCTCGTTTGAACCCGAATGCCTTGCAGGAACCCCGTGTCTGATTGACCCCTAAAGCAAACTGCAGCCCTAAAGTGAGATCGGTGGATTTCTCTTTGCTAATGTGCCCCCCAGCCTGGATTATAGTGGTTTTTGTTGTTGGTTTTGGTTTTTTTTTCTCCCCAATTTAGAGAGATCAGAAAGCCGTGTGCTTGTCTCTCAGAAGTGAAAATCATCACCAGGCTGTTTAGACACATTTTTTCACAACCAATTCCTGGCCTTGCCCCCGCCAAATGACCCTCTGGTTGGTGGAGATTAAATTAATATATCTGGAGGTAGCGTGACCCGTTTCCTCCGAACCCGCAGCCCAGCGCGGTCCCCACCAGTATAATTGGATTTACTGAAATTTGGAAGACAAGAGCCATGCTCCAGTTTCTGGCTTTCCCTTTTCTGTCGCGTTCAAAAATACACTCTCTTGTCTTCGCCGTCAGATGTTCATGTTTCCTCAATTTGTAACACATTTTAATAATATGAATCTTCCCGTAGCCTGGCTAATTGTTGGCTGCTGTTAATCCGTCTGTGTGGGGCACAGAGCCGCTCTTCAGCTGGGCAAGCCTTGCTGTACGGCAGGCTGGGGTTTGCAACTCCAGAAACTGCCAAAAAAAGCTGAAGTTGCTGCAGTTAATATTCATTTTGCACTTCGTGTTTATTTTTCCTGGGCTTTTGATTCAGCTCCTCTCCCTACTCATTCCCTTTCCAAACACGGTGTTGGGGAAATACCACATTAGCTAACGATATATGGGGGAAAAGTTGTTGATTTGTGCTTCTCGGTGTGCTCAGCGGATTTGTTTTCCGCGGCAGCTTCCGTCCCCCATCCCGGCCGAGGCAGCTCCCCCTGTTCTCAGCTTCGGCAGCTGGGAGAGAGGGGGGAAAACAGTTAAAAATAAAGAACTAATGGTAAAAGCAGAAGGGCTGGCAGGAGAACTCAGCAGCAGGTCGGGACCTTCAAAGTACTTTTACCAGGCTTTGTGAAGTTGGCTCCATTTTTATGATTATTATTATTTCAAAACACACCCTGCGACACGTGAATTGACCTTCGCAAAAAAGCCCAGGCATGTGCTGCTCGCTCTCCTCCCAAGCACCGCGCCCTGGCAGGGCTTTGCAGATCGTTCTCTAGAACTTAATCCTCGCTTCCAGCCCCCTGGAAGATTGCAGTGAACGCTTCTGGGTTTGGAAGGGGCTTTGTTTTAACCCCTGGGTGTTTTTGGTCTGAATTTTGAATTATCTGGGGACTTTCGGCTTCGAGATGGCCTCGGATGCTGCATCCGACCGAGACATCCCCCCGAAAACCCCTTCCCATCCTCTCGCCAGGGTCAGCAGCGTGTTCCCCAGCCTGAAA